GAGGACCCGTCCTGTCGTTTTGGACACAGCCAAAGTGTCCAACCACAGACAGGAAGTGGTCAACCAAAGACAGGAAGTGGTCCGAGACAAATTCTGTCCAAACATTGTCATGTTTTATATGTTCCTGACAGGCAGCCGAACTTTGATCTGAATTTCAGCAGCTGTTACCTGTTACCTGCAGATGTTACCTGTTACCTGTACCTGTTACCTGTAGGTGTTACCTGTAGCTGTAGCTGTTACCTGTAGCTGTTACCTGTTACCTGCAGACGTTACCTGTTACCTGTAGCTGTTACCTGTAGGTGTTACCTGTAGCTGTTATGTACAGATGTTACCTGTTACCTGTAGCTGTTACCTGTAGCTGTTACCTGTTACCTGTAGCTGTTACCTGTAGCTGTTACCTGTTACCTGCAGATGTTATCTATAGCTGTTACCTGTTACCCGTAGCTGTTACCTGTTACCTGCAGATGTTACCTGTAGCTGTTACCTGTTTCCTGAAGATGTTATCTATAGCTGTTACCTGTTTCCTGTAGCTGAGGACTGAGGCCACCTGTACTGCGAACAGGGACCACACACAGGACCCACAGCTGAGACCAGAGTGTCCCCAGAACCTCAGACCTGCACCCAAACCCCTGAGACAGGTACCTGGTCCTCCTGCTGGCTCTGCAGTTGGTCCAGGGTCCTGTTGTACTTCTGGTCCTCAGCTGTCCTCTCCTCAGCGTCTCGCTTTGCACACAGCTGCTTCTCCTGCAGCCATGCCCTCTGCTGCTGGATACCACACAGCACCTTGTCCCTGTGGACACCACAGACAAGTGGACTAGAGACAGACCTGGTCTGGGTCACCACAGACAGGTGGACTAGAGACAGACCTGGTCTGGGTCACCACAGACAGGTGGACTAGAGACAGACCTGGTCTGGGTCACCACAGACAGATGGACTAGAGACAGACCTGGTCTGGGTCACCACAGACAGATGGACTAGAGACAGACCTAGTCTGGGTCACCACAGACAGGTTTTGAGGTTCTGGACTCACATCACTGAGCTGAAGGTGGAGTTGAGGTCCTGATGGGTTCTGTCCCACTGCTTCTGGACCATCGTAATATGTTTGTCCAGCTGAGTCGTCTGAGACTCCAGGTGCTGCAGGTGACTCTGCTGCACCTGGGCATCCTGAAGCTCCGCCTTCTGCAGGTCACACACTAACCCCTGCAACACACACACACAGATACACATGTACACAGTGCAGAGACAGAGGATCAGCTGAAGAATAGGATCAGCTGAAGGACCACCTGCATGGTGAAGTCCTGCTGGTCCACTTGTCTCTCAGTGGTCTTCTTGAGGTCCTGCAGATCTTCACGCAGCTCTGACTCTCTGTTACCTCCCTGTTACCTGTAGCTGTTACCTGCATGAACTGTGGGACGGTCTCCTCCTTCCTCCTGGTCTCTTCCTCCTCAGCCTGCAGGAGTTGCTGCTCCTCGCTCCTTTCTCCTCCTCCTCGCAGCTTCCTGGACATGTTTCCTCCTGGTTCAACAGGTGTTGCAGGTGTCTGTCTCAGGTGTGCACCGTCAACAGGAAGTGTCTGTCTGATAAACAGGAAGTACTGCAGGTTAATGATCAGCTGCTGCTCAGAACAATTATAAAATCATTTAAAGTTTTAGTTTTATAAGATGTAGAAAATAAGATTATTTATTAAACTTTACGTTTCTGAAACTAGCGTTGGCGGCCATCTTGAATCAGCTGTAGCTAAACAACCATAAAAACTTTGAGTTTCTTCAAACTCGTTCAGAAGTTGCTGAGACTTTATTTATACATTTATTATACATCAAAGGTAGACCCACCTGCCGCCAGGTGTATCATCAAAGCTTTGTGTTTTACCTGAAACCGTGTAGCTTTGTGTCCCTCCGCTGTCCGTCCGTTTACTGTTTCTATAGCAACGAGCTGCCGGAGAGGGTCACGTGACAGCAGTTTTTTTTAACTTTCTTTTAAAGTTTTTATTAAAACACAGCAGTTTAATTTGTTTTATATTAAGCACCAACAGTTCACCATGTAGAAGAAGCAGAAATGTAGAAAATATTTATAACTAAAGATTCATGTCAGAAACTGTGTACGGTGTCCGACAGGGGCAGCTGCGCAGCAAACCGGAAATGCTTTACAAACGAAAAAAAAAAAAAAAAACACTGCAAAGTAAAAATGATGCATTCATAAAATCAACTGCATGTTATAAAAATGATGCTAGTTTTAAAAAACTGCTGCAAAATACAAGTGATGCATTTATAAATCCGACTGCATGTTAGAAAAATGATGCAAGTTCAAAACCATGTAACTGAAATGCGCCTCGCCAGTAGGGGGAGTGCTACCAGCTCATAGCACTGCTGGCCACTCCTCTGTAGATCTTGGTTCCTTGACTCAGTACAGCAAATTGTTAGTGAGGAATTTGGGAGATGAAATGGATCCGTAACTTAAATTAGACAGCCACATTAGGTCAGTTGTTAGAAGGAGTCTTTATCATTTCAGGCAGCTAGCCAAAATAAAGCCCATTGTTCCCAGAAGACATTTTGAGACAGTGATCCATGCCTTTTTCACCACCCGGCTGGATTATTGTAATGCACTTTATCTGGGGGTTAGTGGGTCCTCCATCGTCTGACTGCAGAGGGTCCAACATGCTGCAGTGAGGCTTTTAACTGGCACACGTAAATTTTACCACATTTCTCCCCATTATAGCTTCACTTCACTGGTTGCCTGTGCCTTTTAGGATCCATTTTAAAATACTTTTATTTGTTTTTAAATCTTTGAATGGCCTTGCCCCACCTGTCTGATCTGCTGCACCCCTATAATCCCTCCCGCTCCCTCAGATCAGCTGATCAACTGCTCCTGAGGGTCCCTAAAACCAGACTCCAACTCAAGGGGGATCGATCGTTTGCTGCAGCAGCTCCTAAACTCTGGAACGAGCTACCTCTCTCCAACTTAGACAGTCCTCTTCACTGGCTGTTTTTAAAACTCGTCTTAAAACCCACTTGTTTACTTTGGTTTTTGACACTGTGTAAGGG